GTAATCATTATGTTTCAAGAGTGCATGATGTGACCCATGGTAGTTTAAAATTCTTAAGAGTAATAAGCCATGAAAAAACAAGATATGTTTATACACAAGAGACTTAAAAATCATCTTTTGATTTTTGCATGGAAGGAAAGGTTTCAGATGGGGGCATTGTTATCAAAGGGTCACTTAGCAAGTTGTTCAAAACATAGATTTTTTTCAGACTTACTAAGTTCACATTCCTGGATAAAAGCCAATATTCTGTTTGAGCACTACCTAAATTGAGAGCTTTTTCAAAGTGTGGCTACTGTGCATTGAATTTGTCAAATCACAGAAATCTATAAAAAATTTCTACAGGAAATGGTCACTGCTTACTCAGTTTGCTACACAGAACTGTTGTACAAATCAGCGCCTGGCTGAATGAATACTCCTTTGGGAATATTAGCTGGTGTTGGTACTGTCAGGGGCAATTAAAGCATACACAAGTAGCCTTCTTCAGCTGTAATTTTCTTGAGAACACCTCCAGTCTCCTCCCTCTTGGGGGCATGGACATGGAAGTATCAGAGAGTCATATGTTAACTGTGGCCTTCCTACTTTGAGTTTATGTCAGTGGCAGCTCCAAAGTCTGTGTGGAGTTAACCATAAGCAAGATTCCATTTGTGCACTTACAGACTTGAAAGGGGACAGGCCTGGTGTTCTCTACTGTTGATCAGGAACACAAACAAAGCTATTAGCTCTATGTTCTGGGAAAGGCAAAAAAAAAATCACTTTTCATATTGTGCAACCAACCCTAAATCAGGTCAATCTCTCCTTCATTGCTGGCTAATATCCAAGCCACAGCGAAAAGCTGATGTTTTTGTTTAGAATGAATTTTTGCAGTGTTTATAAACCAAGTCTCCTTGAAATTTTCATTAGGAGGATCATACAGCTCACCTCTTCTTGCCCTTTATCCTTTCTGCTGGAATAGTTGAGTGATTTTGAAAATTCTCACTAGTCTAACTGATTAGTAAGGAGAGTTCGTTTTGAATGTCACCTTCTGCAAGGCAGAACTGAGATTGACATCCAGCCCAGATTCTGTGACCGAGGAGTGAGGAGAACATGACTTTCATTACAGCTTGGGTTAGATGAGGAGTAGGAGGGAATGGTTACGTATCAACCGAATGGCACATAACAGCCACATGTCACTGGATCCTAACAACTTAGAATCCTGTAATATAGATATTTTTGTCACTATGTTTGTAGGTAGGGAAACTGAGCACAAGTAGTTTCCTTGTTAGTAAGTGATAGAGTCAGGATTTTTTTCTGTACAAAATTACCTCCAGATCTATTAAGTTATAGTGATAAACATGTATTATTGTTTATAAATCAACAGCCAGCATCTATTGATAGGCCAGCTGAGCAGCTCTGCTGGTCTGGGTCAGACCTAACTAATTTTGCATGAGTGTGCTCATGCATTTAGTGTTGACTGGTGTGTGTGTGTGTGCGTGTGTGTGTGTGTGTGTGTGTGTGTGTGTGAGTGTGTGTGTAGGGGTGAGGCCTCACGCATGGGTCTGGTGGTTGGTTGACTGTTGACTAGTGTGTGATAAAAGTGTGGCCATTTGTATTTTCTAAAGATACCTGTAACAGTTGAACTCAGGACCTTGCATTGGCTCAGTTTGCTTGCTTGGCTGATATTCTACCACTTGAACTTGTCTGTAGCTTTTTTTTTTAATCTTTAAATAGTGTACAAAGGATTTTATGGGTACAATGCGTCTTAATCAACATCACCCTTGTCATCATTCTCCCCGATCTCTCCTAACCCCACCCACACCCTCCACTTACCTAATTCCACTTTCATATATGTACATAGAATATTATTTGCTGCTCCTTTCTCTCTCCATTTGTTTTTCCTCCCTCTCCTTGACTACCACCGCTTCTGAAAACACACGTTTCATTTTCTGGTATTTATTTTGTGAAACAAAAGGAAGTTACACCATTACCAGGTTGGCTGATTATTTTGGAAGGTGAGGTCTTTTGATCCTTTTCTGCCTGAGTTAAAAAGGATCAAACTATGGTCCTTCAGATTTCAGCTTCCTGAGTGAGGCTGAAACCATCAGAGTTGGAACCATCAGAGTCTAGCTACAATCATATATCTCTTGTGTTGACAATGGGACACTGATCTTTTTTCTCATCTATATGTGCCTTTCACTTGAATTTGAGCAGACATTTGTGGCTACCTTTACCAATAGAATATGGTGGGTGTGAGGCAAGTCCAACTCCCAGTCATAGACTTGGGAATTTGGCAACTTCTGTTTTCTTTCTTTCTTTCATGATCTTGTTTTTGGATTGGATACATGCTGTTGGATGGAATCTGGGCAGTCACATAGACAACTCACGTATAGAATGTCCCAGCTGAGGTCCCAGCTGAGCAGGCAGCATCAACCACCACCTCTCACCAAATGTGAAAGTGAGTTCATGAGCCTTTGGATGACCCCAACTGCATGGTGCCAAGTCATGCCCAGCTATAAAATCACCCTGGCCTTTGAGGTTTCCCAACAGATGTCAGGAACAGCAGAACTGAGCTATCTCTACCAGGCCCTCTACAAATTGCTGATCTGTAGGTAGAGTTTTTTGAGCTACTGGGTTTGCGGTTGTTTGTTATAATAGCTAAGTGAATAGAATGCCATGTGTTTATATAATTTGGCAGGCTAGATTGAGTTTATTTTCATGGGATCCAGGAGAGAAGGGTGGGGAAGGAGGGGGTAAGGAGAGGGAGGGAGAGAGAATGAGAAGGGAGGAGGGAGAGGGAAGGAGATGGGGAGGAGGAAAGGGGAAGGAGGGGAAGAGGGGAAGAGGGGAGGAGGAGAGCATAAGGTCTCTTGAGGCTCCAACTGGCACACTGTCACTTCTACCGAGTTCTGTTGTACAAACAAGTCAGCCCAGATTCAAGACAAGGGGAAATATACTCTACAGTTTGATGGGAGGAGCAAAATGTCACATTGAAAAGAGCTCGGCTAAAGGGAGGAATGAAGTTTTATGGTCTTATTTGCAACTTATTATGCCACTTCCTAAGGCATGTGGACTATTTAGGTCAGTAAGAAAGATGAAATAACACTTAAAAGAAACCAAAACATTGTGATGATTGTATTTCACATGACAAATGTATAGAGGATAGTGCCTAATTTCTAACCAGATCAACCATATAGAATGCCATTTGTGTGAAAAAAACAAAAAAAACTGTGTGTGTCAGGAAATTGGTTGTCACAAATGTATGTTACCCACGCTGGGTATGCAATTCCCATGGGTCCTGGCAAATAAAGTTTAGAAAGTATGTGAGCAGTTTTATTCCTTATGGTTCAGAACACACAGGGCATATGACAAGGCCTGATTTACATTCATTCATCTGAGAAGCATGTATCCATTGTGCTTGGTAAGAGATAGAAGCAATAGTCTGAAGACTATCGCTGAAGCCCTCACCCTGTCTAAGATCTGAACATGGGTTATGTAGTTCAGAAAGCTAGTTTGAGACAAACTATATATTTGGGTCAGTTTTGGAATAAATTTGGGTACTCTAATAATGGGTCAAAATTTGAGAGGGCTTTAGTCACGAGTTTGCTGGGTGGGGAAGGGGCCACAGGGGTGTCTTCTTTGCTTGGGTAGATTGAGGAAGACTAACTCACCAGAGTTATCTGAACAAGACTCATTGCAGTCAAGAAGTTCCAGTCACTGTTGAGGAAGATCAACACACAGAGCCAAAGCAATGTCTGGGTCTTTCTTCAGAGGTGTCCCTGGTCTTGTAAGTGAGTAAATGAGTTCTTGTCATTCAGCGGGCTAAGTGTCACAATCAGATGAAGGAGGCTGCAGGCAGGCAGTACCACCGAGGGCACTGAATATATAGCCTGTGGCTTGGGAAGGTCTTCAAGATGAGAAGGCATTTTCTGGGCAGACAAAGAGAGTCATCATATACAGAGTTCTAGAATCATTTGGAATGCCAGCTAGTACAAAGTATGTCTGTGTGAGAGAGAAAATGCAAGAAGCAAGCCAAAGACAGTAGCAGAGTGAAGAGATGAGAAAAGTCGGGAACGTGAGGAGTGGATTCCAGGGGGAAATAGGCAGGACTCCTACAAGTGGTAGTTGTCACAGTCAGGCCAGCAGCGATGACAGCCCTGCCCCCAGTGGTAGTCCTGGGCCTAGCTGTGAGAACACATCTAAACTACTGGACCAGTTAATTGTGCTAGTCAATAGTAGGGCTGATAAATGGAACGAAGGAAGATGAGCAAGATGGTGAGTGTGGCATGCTGTATCAGAGAGATATATGAGACTCTAGTTGTGACAATCTGTACCTTTTAGTCTTTGATGGATTGTTACATTTCTCATTTTTCTCCTTTTTTTTTTTTTCTGTTTCTATCATTGTTTTCTGTACCTGCAACAAGCAAACTCCTAAGCCAGAATGGTGAGATGTGGATGTGATGGTCTGTGTGTCCAGATGGGATCAGGTACATGTCTCTACCATCCTCAAGGTTAAGCTGTATCTTCTTTACAAAGGCCTTGTACCCTGGGTATGGTGTAATACCTTGCACATCCCATTAATGGCTGTTTTTATAAATATCCTAACGCATTAAAGATAACACATTAACATCCATGCTCCCTGTCACATACATCCTAGAGGGCAGGGATGGCTATTTTTGTCCCTTTGTGTAAACTACTTGGTATTCTGTCCCCGGAACTAATTACTATATGCTTCTCCAGTTTCACTGACAAAAAGTTACCTCTTGCAGCTTTACGCCATCTCACAATTTATAAATTAAAAGTATAATTTGAATTTTAAATGATCATTTGAGGTTTGTAGGAAAATCTTATGAATTTTATTTTCTTTATATAGAGACTGAGGCTCGGAAAGTGTGTGAGTTACCTACCATGGCAAACACTGAATATGCACTTGGATCACCAATTCTAAGTCCAGTGTTTTCTCTCTCTCTCTCTTTAAGTCCAATGTCCTCTAGCATCTCCTTGGGAAAGAATAAAGAGATAGGTGAGTACCTACTTTGGCAGGACAAATAGTAAAATTGGAACGATACAGAGAAGATTAGCACATCCCATGTACAAGGATGTCATGCAAATTCGTGAAGGATTCCATATTTAAAAAGAAAACATGAGGGAGGAGACAACGAATAATTATTTATAACTTGGCTTGTGTGACTATACTAAATAATAAAATGAGGGTTTCTTAAAAAAGAAAGGTGGCTTTTTAGGGCCAGGTATTAGATCCCCTAAGTAGGCATAGCATGATTGTTCAAGGTACATAGAACCCAGTGTAGTCTAGCCTCCTTCTTGGAGGTGAGCCTTTGCCATTGACTCCCCGTTTATTCCGCTGGTCAGAGGCTTCGGAAGGCTGCTGCATTTGACGGCTGTGGTGAGGGTGGAATTGCTGCCGTCGTTTTTGTAGCAAAAGTTAACGTTCTACTTTTTGCTTTTATGTATAGGTATTTTTCCTGTTACATGGCATTTGTTTCTGGTTCAATAGGGAGAGAAATTGAAGTAGTACCTCTAATCCAAGGGCAAATTTTACATCTGAAACAGATCAATAGCAGCCTTTCACAGATAGCCTAGGTCAACAGGCCAGTGACTGGCAGTAGAAAGCATAGGATAAGAATATCTTGCTTTTGGGATTTCTTGTTGGACGGGCCTTGTTAGTTCACTTACCTGGCAGCTAATTCACACAGAGCATGTCTGGGAGAGTGTGTGTTTTAAAAGGGTATTTCATAAACATTTGCTGATGATCTCAATGTTTTCAATGATACTATGAGGATAATATCACCCAGGACTGGTCCCTTGTGGAAGTAACACTGTACTGTGTTCTCCTTTTATGAGCTTCCTGTGGAGCTAGTGAAAAACTAATTATAAAGGACTTTAATTAGTGTAAAAATAGGATGCTCAATATAAAAAATAAAAAAATGAGTTAAATGGGAATGTAAATACAATTCCCACCTTAATATATAGCCATAATCAAAACTCAAAGTATCAATGATTATATTTATTATTGTTGTTGGCCAGTCAGTGGCTTTGGACAAAGATGAGGCAGAAGCAGAATATCTGTCCTGCGGTTCCCAGATGCCACAACAAAACAGGCTTTCTGATTTTCCTTGGTGCCTGCCCCTACCCTACCTGGTCCCAACTATACACGCTCACTGCTGGACTTCAATTTACAGTTCCTTGAGGGTGCTGTCAGTTCTCGTCACCTTGATAAGTAGGATCAACCAGTTTTCTGAATGTTTGGCCATGTGCCCAGTTGGCCTTTCTGAGACTCTCTTAGATGTAGCTACTGCCAGTAAAGCCATCTGACTCTTTCTCCAGGTTCACTGGAAGAGCACAGAGAGCAGGATGGTTGGTGTTAGGTGGATGCCAGTTGCAGAGGGTTTTAATGATACTAATCACAACAGCAGCAAATTTACCCATTAGAATATCTGTTATGGATTTAGTTGGTTTCTCTTATCATTTCATTTAACCCTTATTGTATTCTTTATTATCATGCTTGTTTATCGTCACGCCTAATCAAACATGAGGTTGAACATCCTTCCCTTCAGGATTTGCAAAGCCCGATGTTTCAGAATGATGTATTCATTTGGGATCAACTAAGGAGCCACAGAAATAGTAAGTCTTATTACCTGATAGTCAGAGCTGGTTACCTTGTAGTACCGGCTAGCACTCTATTGCATATTGGACAGTTCATGAATATTTTATAAATTTCAATATGTGTTTATTATGAGAGTCTCCAAAGCTGTTCTGAGTCATTCTGGACTGCCCCCGCCCCCTGCTTGAGTTTCTCTGTGTCTTTCAGGAACATAGCCAGGCTCAATAATAGGAGTTGCAAAGAGGATCAGCTAGGAGAGAGGTTCCCTTGCAGGTTGGCCACCATCCTTAAAGAACAAGCAGGGAGAAGAACTCTGACTTGGATCTGCTTGTGTACTTATGAGACTGGTTCAAAATTCAGGGGTGTGTGTGTGTGTGTGTGTGTGTGTGTGTGTGTGTGTGGTTTGTTGGGTTCAGTTAGATGATTCACAATCCTGTTTGGCCTGGGGTACAGGACTGGGGATGCCAGAATCAGTACAGTCCCAGGCAAACTGGGGAGGCTGGTCACCTTAGTGTATGAAGGAATCTTGTATTAATTGTTGGGGGCAATGTACCATCTTGGTTTGTGGTGTTGGGGCTAGTGTCAAACCTAATTTAAGGCCCAGATCCATCACATACCATAATACCCTGAGCAAGATGGACCTTGTTTCTCAATCTCCTTATTTATAAAGTGGTGATATTAAAAATACCCACTTTATAGGCTTGTTATTGAGATTAAATAACACCCCACATGTAAAATCCCTGGCACATAGACAGTCTGAGCCACGGACAGCCTTTGGGCTAGTCTTACCTGAGCATAGAATATCATTTGTGTGGGCACTTCATGTTGAGTCCAATCTACACAAGATGCCCTGGTGTTAGCTTTGATACAGTATGTCACCTGCATGGCTGTATGGCCACTTCCTGTGGGGGTGATTGCTACCCAAAAGCTTGGGCTGGACTAAGGCTTCCCCCGCACTTAACATCCTTTCCATGGGCAAGAGTCTGTGTTCTGAACACCAACGATGATAATTATCATAGCCTAAAAGAAGAACCTTGGGTATAGCAATCAGAAGACTTCTGTTTATGTGAATTTCCTTCACTGAAGAAGGTGTGAATGGGGAGAAGACAGGGAGGGTGTATAAATATGGTAGCTAGTGAACATGACAGCCAGTCCCTCAAAGGCACAGTAGGCCAGGCCATGTTTGTTATCTGATAGTCACACTGCACACACACACACACACACACACACACACACACACACACACACACACACACACACACACACAGACTCCTTCTGGAAAGCAAGTTATAGGGCTTGCTTCTCCAGTTGCTCGCTCTTTCTTCTCATCTCCATGTCTGCATGGTGCAGACATCACAGACCTCCTCATCTAAATTTCTCCCAGTGCCTATTTTTGTCTCGTTCCATGCCTGACTTTTCTTCCTTTTGCTTTGAGGAGTGGGGACCCTGCTTTGTAGGATAACAAATAGAACTGTCAAACCCATCAGTGCTGCCGCCTGCAAAGATAAATGGGGCGACACGTGGAGCAACCTCTGCGGATCCCGGGGCCCCAGCAGGAGCTGACATGGTGACAGATGCGGGGACAAGTGGCACTGACACAATCGGGTCGCGTGAATGTCGTGAGTGTCGAGGGGGTGAGGGTGGTGTCTGCTCCCCCGTTGGCACCCCCCGCTCTGCCATGGACACACTAGATTCCTGGGATCATAAAGACATCGCAGACCGTTTGCTGCCTCCCTCACAGCCTTGCCAGTCTTGCCCGCCAACAGCACGGGGCAGGCTGTCTGCAGAGCGCCCTGCTCTCCCAGGGGTGACAGCCGAGTTACCTTGTAAAGAAAGCTCTTCCTGGGCAAAGGACCAGGGCTAAGTTTGTCTTTAACCTTCAGCCTCCTCTTTCTTCAGAATTTCCCTGCGTGCTCATCTGTTCTCATCAGACTTTTCACACGCTCAGTAGGCTTACCTGCTCTCTGGCTCTCACCCAGAATACCCTCCCCATCTTAATCTGTCAATCAGCCTACACATTAGAGCTTTCCATGCATTTCTTGTAGATTAAAATCACCTTCTGTGTGAAATGTTCCATTTCCCTGCAGACGGAAGTAGACTCCCCAGGAGAGGCTGGGTAGGTTATTTGGGGTCCTTAATGGGGGGGGGGTGGAAAACTCCACTTTGAGAGTATCCAAATACATTTTGGGTGGTAATTGTTCACTTTCATTTTCCCTTTTCATTCTGGCTAAACCAAAGTTATCCTTTGAACAGAGGTGCAATTCTGAATGGAGACTTTTCTCTTGAGTCTCTGCCTTCAGTAGCCTAATGTTGTCAATGGCTGCCTGGGACCTCAGTGAATTCAATTCATTAAACAGTCAGTGAGGACTCAGTTTCTACCAAGCAATGTGGTGACTGGTATGAGTTGGAGGAGGCAGCAGAGTGGTTAGAAAGATAAATAAGACGTGGGCTGTTGCACTTCATGACTTGTTGAGAAGAGAGTTATATGTGTGAGTAACTTTCATACATGACCAGCCTCAAGAGGGAATTCAAGTGGCAGAGTAAGACCAGGAAGAGGAAGAATAACCTTGACTCAAGTGGAATGGGACATCGTTGAGGACATTGTTGAATCGGGACAGGGCTTTGGAAAGGTTAAAATGATGGGGAAAATCTCCTTATATTGGAGGAAGAGTCTGGATTTAGACAGATGGAAAGTGTGAGTGTACTAGGGTCTGGGTATAGTCAAGTCTCACTTAGGTACAAGAGGAATGTGTGTGTATATATGAGAAAGGGAGACAGGGAGAGGGTGAGAGGGAGAGAGGGAGGAAAAAAGAGAAAGGAAGGAGCTAGGGAGGGAAAGACAGAAAGAGAGAGAGTGAGTAGAGACAGAGAGAGAGTGGAGACAGAGAGGAGAGGGAGAGAGAGAGAGAGAGAGAGAGAGAGAGAGAGAGAGAGAGAGAGAGAGAGAGAGAGAGAGAGGAGAGTGAATATGAAGGAACATTTGGTTGGAAGAAAAGATTGTGCCAAGGCTTAGAAATTTAAATTTCTTTCTATATTGAGCTTTGGGTGAGGGGACAGAATGGTTCTTCACCCATCATTTCATTTCTCATTGCAGAATTCTCAGTACAATTGGATGCTGCCCTTGGTGATGAACAAGAAAATACATAATCAATCACACAGTTCTCTTTGATTTCTCAAAAAAGAAACACACAAAACAAAAACAAAACTGAGAGCAATGGGCAATGGGGAGGGGAAATGGGCGAAGGGGGGAGCTAGTGTGGAGAGCCTAGGAGTAGAATGCATGAGCTTGTGTCAATTACTTAATGTCTTTCAGCCTCAATTTCCCTGTCTTACATAGAGAGGACATATAATACATGACCTAAAATGGGGCTAATGATATTTTCCACATGTAAGGCTCATCAGGGAAAAATGTATATAAAGTGTTTAGCACACTGCATCTCCTATCTGCTGGCTATTGTTATGATTATCTTCTTAACTTTTGATCCCTTTTGAGCAGGCAAGTACTCTGCTAA